CTCACAAGTTTGCAAAGAAAGCCCCCTTGTGTGTGTGCACAGAAGTGCAGTACAAGTAAATTTGTGATGTCCATCTATGAATTAATAACAAAATACACAAGTTAGAATCTTACTTTCTCCTGCCTGGCAGCTGAGGTGGCCAGGGAACCTGCGCACCTCCCAGTGTTGGGTTTCTCTTGGTGCCCTTTAAAACACATAAACCCAATAAAATCGTTTTAACATCGTAAATAACCACAGTTACTCACAAATGGTGTCTTTAGTCACTTGCCCTCAGGTCCTGGGCCTTAGACATTAATTTTAACCAAAACCCTGTGATGGTTGCAAGTGATTAGAGGGGGCTCAGCTGCTAGTCACAAGGTTGGAGGTTCAAGTGCCCCTGGAAGCAGGTTGGAGGAAAGGCCTGCTTCTAAAAAGACAGCCCTTGAAAACCTTCTCCCATGTGGGGCCCAGCTCCACTCTGACCTGGGGGCCGCTAGGATTCTGCCACTTAAGTGTGGGCTACTGGTTCATGCTGAACTCGTTGGCACTTTGAGCTAGTAGCCACTACCAGACTGGGGCGTGGGCTGCACTGCCCTGGGAGTCACTGCAAGACCCACCAGCCTGTGGTAGAATGTGAAAAGTGCCCTCTCAGTTCCCAGTGTCCCCTAAAACGGGGTGCGTTTCTACAGACATTGATGCTACAAGGAAGCAGAAGCAGAGCATATACTTTGCTGTTAGAAATTGCTTCTAACGTCTACTGGCTAAGCTTTATGAGTTTTGAAAAAAGTCTTTTTATTGTGATTTTGGTGGTGAATGCTCACAGAGCAGATTGTTGTCATTCAATAAAACATCCTTTGTTTTTGAATTTTAAACTGTGGCACTCTGCTATTTTTTTAAATTAAGAGTTTTTATTGACATGTAATTTTCCTTTTAAATCATTGTATTGGGGCTCATACAACTATTCTCACAATCCATACATCAACTGAGTCAGGCATGTTGGTACATATGTTGCCCCCATTCTCTTCTAGACTTTTACTTACTTTATTTTTTTTTGACATTTGCTTTTTTTTTAAAGCATTTCATTAGGGGCTCATACAACTCTTATCACAATCCATACATCAGTTGTGTAAAGCACATTTGTACATTCATTGCCCTCATCATTCTCAAAACATTTGCTCTTCACATAAGCCCCTGGCACCAGGTCCTCTTTTTTTCCCCCTCCTTCCCTGCTCTCCCCTCCCTCATGAACCCACGATAATTTATAAATTATTATTTTGTCATATCTTGCCCTGTCCGACGTCTCCCTTCACCCACTTTTCTGTTGTCCGTCCCCCAGGGAGGAGGTCACATGTAGATCCTTGTAATCAGTTCCCCCTTTCCAACCCACTCTCCCTCGATGCTCCGGTATCGCCACTCACACCACTGGTCCTGAAGGGATCATCAACCCTGGATTCCCTGTGTTTCCAGTTCCTATCTGTGCCAGTGTACACCCTCTGGTCTAGCCAGATTTGCAAGGTAGAATTCGGATCATGATAGTGGGAGGTGGAGGAAGCATTTAGGAACTATTGGAAAGTTGTATTTTTCATCGTTGCTACATCACACCCTGTCTGGCTCCTCTCCTCCCGTAGACCCCTCTGCAAGGGGATCTCCAGTGGCCTACAAATGGGCTTTGGGTCTCCACTCAGCACCCCACCCACCCACCCCCCATTCGCTATGGTAAGATTTTTTGTTCTGATGATGCCTGATACCTGATCCCTTGGACACCTTGTGATCGCGCAGGCTGGTGTGCTTCTTCCATGTGGACTTTGTTGCTTTTGAGCTAGATGGCTGCCTGTTTACCTTCAAGCCTTTTAAGACCCCAGATGCTATATCTTTTGATAGCCGGGCACCATCAGCTTTCTTCAGCACATTTGCTTATTCACCTGCTTTGTCTTCAGCGGTTGTGTCGGGAAGGTGAGCATCATAGAATGCCATTTTAATAGAGGAAAGTATTCTTGCATTGAGGGAGGAGGCCCAATGTCCTTCTGCTACCTTAATACTAACCCTAATTCCTATATCATAAAATGCAGTAGTTTAAACCTATCGGAATGAGTTGTGCAATCATCATCATAATTCATTTTAGAACATTTTCTTCTCTTCCTTGTATTCATTATTATTAGCTCCCCCTTTCCCCCAGCCACCCTTCCATAAGCTCAAGAAACTGTTGATCCAGTTACTCGTTCTATAGCTTTACCTATCCTGGATTTCATATAAAGAAAAACATATAAAAGCAAATAGCCCAAACAACAACAACAAAATAAAGCAGAACAACAAAAACAAAAAGTAGAACAAATTTAAAATGGGTCAAAGGGGAGAACAAATGATAAAGTGATAAATTTTAACCTAATTACATGTGTTAGTAATCCACTTTCCAAAGCAGTCCCTGTGATTTCAAGGCTTTTTATCCACATCTCTGCTCAGTGGGCAAAGGGGATTCACCAGAGCCTTATTCCACGTGGGGACCTTGCCAATGAATTTTGTGCTTCCACTATCATCTGTATAACTAACCCACTTTAAGCTTGATGCTCACAATTTAAGCTCAGATACTGTTTCCTCCTCCAGTCTTGGGGGTTTTTATTTCCAGTCCTTGGATTGAAGAGGCTTGTGTTCATCTTCTTGGTGGATTTAGCGTGACCTCCCGTGGAGGTCCTCAATTCATACACATTTTGATTGCTGACACGGTTTGCAGTCCTCACAATGTCTCGTTCCACTTCTCCAGTGTTTCCACGTTTTTGTTTGTCCTTCCTTCCTTTCCTTTCCTGCCTTCTGAACTAGACCCCTGGGCAAATGCTGCCCTTTCGATCTTGGATAGTTGATTATTCTAAGGATTGTGTACCCTTCTGGTGTTACTGTCCCCTTTATAGGCCCTTGTGTTGTTTGCCTGAAAGTGAGTCAGGTGAAGGATCCAATGGTTTCTAAGGACTATAGTCTCGGGGGTTAAACCATTCTCTTAGACCAGTAAGCCTGTTTTATTCCTGTCAGAGTTTTGTCACACATTTTTCTCCCATTCTGTCTAGGTCAAGTTTACTACTGTGATCCCTTTAGAACATGGAGCAATGGAAGGCTGGGCAAACACCTAGTTCTTCTGGTGGTTTTACTGTCCTGGAGGCTGGAGTTCACGAGTCCCTCAGTCCTTTTGGACTATTGTTTCCAGGAGTCTCTTGATTTTTACTTTCCTCCTATTTGTTTCAGATGGGAAGAGCCTAATCATTGCACCTGACATAGCTGCTCACAAGCATTTATAACCCTCTCCCATCATCAGTGTGTATAACAGGGAGCACTAGGCAGGGGAGTTGGAGCAGAAAGCTTCTCATACTCTTGCATTGGTGATTGATTATACCAGCTAGACTTTTTCTGGAGCATCACAATGTTGGGTAAACTGGCATTAAAGAGAGGGCAACCACAACTCTGGCTCAGGCATTTTTATCTCTAAAGCTTAAGCCTCGAGGTTGGTCTGGGTGGGAGGGAAGTATGACCCCTTGTTCTGGAGCTGAGTGGGGCCATCCCTCGCCAGGTAGTCTCTATTAAACGTCGTCTCTATTAAACTGTGGCTTGGTGTAACCGGAGAGCACAGCCTTAGAGTTGGTTCACTGCAAAAGTAAAAAGGTTTGGTGGAAACACTGTTCCTGAATACTCACTACTTGGAATTCTGAATACAAATGACACTTCTTTTGCACTATGAAGTCCCTACTCTGCCCTGGGAAGCTAGTGGAGCTGAGATGGAACTGGGCCCAGCCCTTAGAGTAGCAGCCTCTCTACTGTCCCCTGGCCATGTAAATGATAGAAACTGAGGGCATGCTTGGTTCTCAGGTGTCTCCATCTTAATTGACATGCACTTCTGCACACAGGACAGGACTGCTCACAGGTGTGCCTTAGCATCTAGCCCCTCCTGGCCTGGTGCATAGCAGTAGATGCCCACCCAATATTGGTTGAATGAGCTACCACTGTTGGACCCAGTCAGCTGAAAGCCAGGTTTGTGCCAGGAAAATAATCATACGGTGTATGTTGTCACCACAGGAAAAGAAGTGAAATAATTGCTGATGAGTTTTGAGATACATGCAGTGCACCCTCTCTTTGAAGATAGTAATTTGAAATAGTGTACTTTGTAATTTTTTTTAGGAGGAGCAAAATAGAGGCAAGCCCAATTGGGAGCACCTAAATGAAGATTTACACGTCCTAATCACTGTGGAAGATGCTCAGAACAGAGCTGAAATCAAGCTCAAGAGAGCAGTTGAAGAAGTGAAGAAGTTACTTGTACCTGCAGTAAGTAGTAATTTACAAACCTTTTATTTGGGCCCCACCCCCTTTGTCAGTTTGGTTTTATATCATTATAATATTGATGTTCACAAACAAACTTACTGTTTATTAAGAATGCTATTTAGCCACAAAGTATAGAATTCAATGGGAACTCAAGGTTAGACGCTGCGCATATCTTTTGCTGAGGAAAGTTTGCTTATTTTTGTGAAAGAAAGGCCATGTGGCCAGCACGCTCCATTAATGGGCTGCTTTTCAAGAGTTGCAGTCCACTCCTGAAGCACTCTGGCTGTAGGCTGGCACTCGCACGCCGTGGTTCTGCAGGAGACAGGGTCCGCGTGTACGCAGGCAGTGAGTGTGCAGGTGTGTGCCTCCTGCATGGGTGCTTGAGGTGCTCCATCAGCTGGGAGACAGCCTGTGACAGGTATATGTCAGCTGGTAGCTACTGGCATCTCCTGTCAGCCCCACAGTGAAATTGTCCCATCTGAGAAAATGCGATTTTGGATTTCAAAAGCCACTAGCATATAATTAAAAAGAGGGAAACCTCACTCCCTGCTATCAAGCTGATTCAGACTCAGTGGGCCCCTTTAGGACACGATAGACCTGTGCCATGGGGCGTCCCGGACTGTAAACCTGTACGGAGCAGGCAGCCATCTTCTTTCTGCTTGCTTAAGAGGTAGGACGGCACATGGTTAAGGAGTCTTAGATAAAGCAAAGCAAGTCATTCTGGTGGGTGAAGACTCGTGATAAGTGTTCCCAAAACCTTTAGATTCTCATCATCCCTTTCCCTCTCTTTTTCCTTTCCCCTGCTCTTTATTCTTGCCACCTGGAAATGATAATTGAATTTATATTAGGTTAACATTTTTATGATGGGAACTTAGAGGGGTTGGGGGTACTTTTCTAAGTCATTAAAATATTCGTTCTGGTAGTCATAAAAATAATGGGGACATTTCAGCCCCTAACCCAGTTATAGGAAAAATGAGGACCACTGTCTGTTTTCTGCCCAGTAGAAATGTTCTGCCATCGACATATACGTGAGCGTGGTTGGGCTTGCAGCCTTGGTTGTCCAGGCAGTCTAGTCCCAAGGCCACAAACATTTCTCCTTTACTTGAGAAAAGGAACTCCTTAGAACGAAAGAGGTTCATATAAATTTGGGTTAATAGGGTTTAGCAGCAATATAAATGAAAATCCATAATGGCACACTATTAAGCATGTGTGCTTCCCCTTTCTCCTTTTCCTTAATAGTTGTGCTGTATTGGAAAACTAGAAAGAGACTTCTGTCAGCAGCTGGGGCTGTTAGTCCTATACTCAGGAAAAGTTGTTAAGCCTTTAACATTATTGTATTGCTCTAGATAACTTAGAGAGAGTCAAGCAGGCAGGTGAGTTCGCCCCATCCATGCAGCACTTAGGATCTGGGTGGTCCTGGAGATGCTCATGGAGAGTGGTAGGCTCTCCCACTTCTTCTGTAAAGGATCTTAGCTCTGAGGCAGGAGCCTTGGATGACAATTGGTGGTCCTCACTGGCTCTGGGTCTCAGAAAATGGGAGAGCTTGACTGCACTGTTTCCTCTTTCACACGGTGAGGACAGTGGAGTGCAGGACCGCAATGGGCCTGTTTGCTCTCAGAATGACTTGTCTTTGTATATTAGAAGTTAGTAAGTACATTTTTATAATTTTCACAGAATTTCTATTTTAGAAGAAAAAGTCACTTTCAGTGATAAGTAAATCTCTCTCCTATGGAGATCATGTTCATATTATTAGACGGCAGCAGTTTCAAGTGATTCTTGGTGTGATTAGCCCTGAGGTAATAAAACTTTCTGGGTTACAAATTGTCAAAACACTTTCAGGTCCGGGTTCTGTACAGCACACTTTCACTTTATAGCAGTATTTATTCTTGTCCATTTGATTAAGTATGTGTATTATAATAGGGACTTATACCAGGAAACATGTGGTGTGGTTAGTTAGGCTGAACGTGATGACACCTTCTCTTGGTGGGAGGTGCCACCTCAGGAGGAGTTTGTCATCCTTGAGGTGACCTGGGCTGGCTTCTTTGTTTCTTTCCTTGGCGATGGTTGGTCAGGAGCAAGATGATCTAATTTGCGCCTTAGTAGGGAGACTCAGACTAATAAATAGAGAGGGGTGGGGGAGAGTAACCTTTTAATTTTTTAAGTCCTTTGGTTTTTCATGAAAACCTTTTAATTTTTTAAATCCTAAAGTGAAATATTACAGTTGACTGTGAACATTTAACTTTCTTCTTATTTTTATTATTTTCTGCTTTCTTTCCAACTAAGGTTTTTATGTTGAGCTTTTGAAAAATTGCTTGGTTTTTTATTTTTGTTTTTAATGTTTTTCTATATTTGAAATCCAGGATAGGTACGTCTATAGAGATGGTAACTGGATTAATGGTTCCTTGGGGGTATGACAGGGGAGATGGAGGAAAGATAGGGAGCTAAGATAAGTACAAGAACAGAGAAAATGTTCTAAAACAGATTGTGATGATGACTGTACAACTCTTGATGTGATCGGATGATTGAATTGTCTGTGTGAATGATCCCCAGTAAAACTTAACAAAGAAAAGAAAGGGGTGCGGTCAGGGTATGGAAAGGAAGAGCATCCTTTCTGTCGTAAGATGGAAGAAGGTAATGCTTGAGAACAACCATGCTGAAAAGCGTTCAACAGGGTGTGGTCTCAGCCCAGAGAACAAGAGTTCGATGACCTCAAGGCGTTGGCTGCGGACAGTAGGTCAGTGAGGCACAGTGAGAGGAGGGAGGGGGTGCCTGAGAAGGGTGTTATAGTCCGAGGTGAGAAGCTTCTGGAGGGTTGTTGAGAGACATGACATAATCTGATTCATATTTCAAAGGATCATTCTGGTTGTTGGACGGAGAATAATTTTTGAGTGTGTTGGTGAAAATGGGGGAGCAAAGTAGGAAGCACCTGCACTTGGTGTGAGAAGGGAAGGTGACTTAGGTGTTCAAGGCGGGTTTGTTTTGAAGGTGGAGCTGACAGGAATTTTGATGGTTTAAACATGTGGTACGTGACGTGGTTCATGCTCAAGGTTCATACCCTGAACAACTGCAGCCACCCTTTATTTACAGGCTTGGGAGGGAATTCAGGGCTAGAGCCTGGAAGTGCAAACATTGAGATGCTCATGAGATACCGAATGTCCGATAGGAGTTAGATGAGAAAATGGCCCTAGAATTTAAACATACAGTCAACATCCTACCAAAAGGATTGAAGCCTATGGGACTGGGGTGGTGTCACCAAGGCATAGGATTTGGGCAGAGCCCAGTTGGAGGACAGCACTGAGTGGTAGAACCAACGACACACACACTCACCCACCCACCTTGGGACAGGGAGCCAGGAAAACCTCAAGTCCTTGCAGACAAGTGAAGACCTTCTCATGGGTCACTTTTCAATTCAGCTATTAACTGCTGGATGTAGTAAGTAGTGGTTATAGGTGACCTTGCTAGTCTTTGAAAGGCGGGAGTCTTAATGGTCATGGTTTTTAAGGAAAAATGGCATGGGGGGAAGGTGTGCTGGCATCTTCCCTCCTCACAGATGTCATGGTCCTTCCCCAGTGACCTCAGCCCTCCACTGCCTTCTCCCGTGATGTGGGCCCTGAGGCCCGTGTGTCAGTGGAGAGAGTGGATTTGATCTACTTGTGCCTGTGCTTGGAGGGCATGTCTCTGTGAGTGGATCCCACTCACAGCAGCCCTGCCTATGACTTCTACGACTTCCAAGCTCTGCGGGGACAGGTGTCCTCATCTTTCTCCCTCAGAGCAGCTGGTGGGGTTGAACCACCAACCACTTCAAAGTGGAATACTACATGTTGATACTTCCAGGTTGCCTTCCAGAGAATTTGTAAGAACCTACAGTCCTACTAATATTGTATGGAATGCTGATTTAGTATATTCTCAAATCCCGTGTGATCAAACTTTTCATCTCTGTTCTGCAAGATTTTTTAAAACCTTTTTAGTTTCAAACATTGGAGTAGTTTTCATGGTTCTTATAATTAATTGTTGTTTTAGGACACTTTTTCTATGAGATTGGATCTTTATGTTTATATCTTGATCAGGAACACAGTCCCTCGATTTCATACCCTGTCTGCAGGGAATGGGCGTGACGTTACATTATCATTTACAGCAGTGGTTCTCAACCTTCCTAATGCCGCGACTCTTTAATACAGTTCATGTTGTGGTGACCCCCCAAACCATAGAGTTTTCGTTGCTGCTTCATAATGGTCATTTTGCTATTGTTATGAATCGGGCGGCCCTTGTGAAAGGGTGATTCGACACCTCTTCCCCCCAAAGGGGTCGCAACCCACAGGTTGAGAACCGCTTATTTACAGGTGAGCCTCAAGCTAAAGTCAGGAGACGCCTCTGATACTTAAAAGTGATAGCCCTTAGTTTACCATGGAAGGCTAAGTTCCGTTACCGAAAATGTAGGATCTTTGTGGGAATGGTGTCCTGTTTTCTTTCATATAGTTATGTTTATGTAGCCCGAGCTCTGCTCAGAGACTGAGGCACCCGAGGGTCAGGCGCAGGGTGGTATGGAGCCTGGGAGTTGATTTTCTTTTGTAAACGTCATCCCTCAGTGTGCTGAATATAATACCCAGTTTTGTATATGGGGAATCTGGTGGTTTTGAAGGTTAAGGAATCGGAGTGAGGATTGTCCCTCTGCTTTATGTGACAATGGTCTTGAATATTTCTGATAATTTGATGATTATATATTAGCTAAAATTGCAGTGACGCAGTGAATTCACTCCCAGCCTTTAAAAATCCAGCTTCAGCATGCTTTTGACAGCACTGCTCTCGCCCTCCTTCACCAGTAAGCAAAAGGTGTCAGCATTATGGGCGTGCCTCGTAAGCGTTGTCATGCATGTGTGCAAAGAGCACTTCAGTATTCTCCTCCCACTGTGAAAGTACAAGGATTGTGAGGGAGGAGCGAGCTCGCTCTTGATTAGTAGGGTTTAGTTAACAATATTTTGCCTGGAGAGCTTGTGTTATTAGTT